CGAAGCGGCAATTTACGGCCTTTTTGCCCGTCTCCCCACTAGGTACAACGCGCAACCTGACCCTGAAATATTGTCAATGCCCTCTCACATCAAAAGGCACACAGAAATGACATATAAATCGTACTGTCGTTCTGAATGTCACTCTCAAGGAAATTCGGAGGCGTCTGAGCAGGAATCGAACCTGAAGCTCGACTGCTCAATCATCCCATAAAACTTTCTACGCATTTTTTGATAATACAATGTTCGTTCGGATTGAGGATGTTCAACTGGTATGGTGGACAATGAGACTACAATGGGAATATAAGATTTATCATCACGCATCATAACAAGAAGGAACGATCGAATATGAGAATACAACATATGGCAGACTTCCAATCAATAACGATGGCTTTCGATTTTGCACCATCAGTGTCACTATCCGGGCAAGCGATTTACGCAAAATCACACGCGTAGACACTACCCTATCTTTCTCTCCCTCTATCTCACCGTTTTTTCCACTCACTCTGATTTCCAATGAATGGGCGGACTAGCTTTGGGATGGGCATTGAACAAACCTACGTGATCTCCTAATTCCTGAATTCTTTCACCATCATTTTCAACATTCATCACAATTGTACAAAACCATCAAAGCAGGGGATAAATATCACAAAACGAGCTGTGCTCAGAACAATTCAAACAATTAAACGTATTTGTATACAACGTTACAAAATTACAACGACGATGGAGACTTGAAGCGAGAACCCAAGGAACAACACAAACGACTAAACAAAGCTATGTGAGAATTGGAGAAGAAAATTGATGATAAAAGTACACTGTATATGTATATCAATGGTTCATCTCGAGTATCTAGCTATAAGAACCTATGGTAGCCATATAACTGAATCGAGTAGCGCCCCGCATTAAGAGCAAACAAACAATGGTCCAAACTACAACCACAGAAACACATCGGGTAGGATACATTGAACCGTATAGTAAAATCATTTGGAGGATAAATGAGACTGATTCTCGCAAAGGGAACTACGCAGTAATTACAACTAGAACTTCAACAACTATTCTCCCCATACGACATACATTAAATATCTGATTTCTCCTTCCGACAATAGAGCTCTTTTAGCGTTTTTAGCTCTTCAATCAATGCCTTGTTCTGGTTCTCTAATACAGCGACCCTGCTTTCTAGACACTTCACATACTCCTGAAAATCACCAAAATAGACAATCCATATGATCGAGCTAAACTCAAGAAACCTTGGAGGCATAAGGCACGATAATTTGGTACTCGGTCTAGAATGCTAGCAGGGTGCTATATAGTGGGGAAAATGGCGAAAAAGCGAAGTGAAACGGTCAAAAACCTGCAAAAAAGCCTTTGTTCTACACGACTCAGAAAGCAATTTCGGACGAGTTTCCCGTTGGCATCGTGCCAATAACCGCTACGGTAGATACCATGTATGTGCTCACATATCCATCACAGACGCTTCATATCAATCCCTTCGCCTCATAAAGTACCTCGCATTTGGCGATACAAGCATCAGCATCGGTCGTTTGTGGGCGGGCGGGCGCTATGGGCGTCCAGGTTGGTATGTTGCAGCTTGATGAGGCGCTATAAGAGTACCGTCCTTGAGAAAGGAAGGTACCCTTATAGCGCCAGGCAGCGCCTGTTCAGGGACATCGGATTCTGTGCTGTTAGGCATATCAAACCTATGCGCCTAGCAGGACAGCGATTTGAGCAGGCGCTGCGTGGCGCCTTTACCAAGGAACGTACCCTTTATAACTGAGCTTCATGCAAGCTGACAAACATACCCCCAGACGTCCACCGCGACCGCCCGCGCCATATATTTCCTACGTAACACTTGAGGTGGCGAAGTGAAATAAGGATAGACAAAGTGAATTGATAGGAAACGGTTTCGTTGCTGCATGGGAGTGGCGTATAATATATACAGGGGGGGGGGCCAAAAAAAAGTCATTTTGCCTCCATGACTTTCAAGGCGCTATAAGTTACACTTTATTAAATTTTTCGGACATTTTTACTACCATATTAAAGAGCACATTAAATACTATAATGATACTCCGCCACAGCCTTCTGGAGGAGCGCCATCGAGAGATTCGGCCGCGCGAAAGTGAGTGGGTACCGGAGTTGAGCGAGATCGTTGATTTCTCCGCCACTGTAGACCACCCTATTGAACTCCGCCCGAACTAGGTAATTGAGTGGGTTCAGGTCAGGGGACATACTTCAATATTACATCTTCTTCAGGTACGAAACGCCCTTCCATTCGAAGTAGGCGGGAGTTTTTCCAAAACCCTTTGATTCCATGTGGTGGCACCCAAACCTGTAGCAGCACAAGGTCTCCAAGAAGGTACGGGCGACCACATGTAGGGAGGATATTCTTCTCGAGTTACTTGATGTAACCGCCAGCGCTCACCTTCAGTCGGGGTCTACAAAGAAAATATCGGTCTTCCCTTTCCAGGTACCCCGGTCCATACCATCAACTCGCGCCTCGGCGAATACGGTGAAGATGATGTCCTAGACCGTAGCGACGTTGCCGTAGCTGGTCGATGTGGGAGGTCTTGCAGATCAAGAGTACTGACCTCCAGGTAGCTATCTGTGGATGACTTCATTCAAGAAGTTTCGCAGCTGTTTGGAGGCGACGTGAATTCCAAAGGTGTTCTCCAGTCAGGCCGCGACTGGAGATGACTTCATATTTTGGCGTACATGAAGGCGATTGGCGGCAGCGTGCTCCAGCTTATAGAGGAAGATCTTGGGTATCTTCCACTCTGGTACTCATATCCACTTCCCCTGTCTGGGCTGCGAAAACTTCGTTGATATGTGGCTCGGCCGAAATGACTTTTTTTTGCCCCCCCCCCCCCTACTATTATTACACACACAAGGAGCCGTGATTCTACCGTACGGTTACTGGCACAATGACCAACGGAGCGGATTTCGGCCCTAATATAGTCCTTTCTGCAGTCAAGGCCAAACGAAAGCTTTTTGCATGTTTGCTCACCGTTTCAGAATAGTTTACTTAGCCATTTTCCCCCACATATAGCCACCTCTGCTAGCATTCTAGTACCAAACTACCAATTATCGTGCCTATGTCTGGTAAGTCATGGAGAAGTGATGACCATGGAATCACTATCAAAGCCAGCTACGATTTTTGCAAAACCACTACTTTTACTCCTGGGTCAAGTGACAGGAGAGGAAAGTGCTTGGTCGGACCGGGCGGAATCTCTCTCGTGGTTTGGACGTCGCGCCCGCGAAACTTGGTAAGCGGGTCAATCGTCACTACATCACCTTTGCCCCAAACCAGATAATGTGAATAAATTCAATGGCGACAAACTCGGATCTGTTGGCTCATTTAGGCTAGAACTAATAATGGATAAAAAGGCACGTATCAGACCCGAAATTGTAGGATCACGTAGAATGGGTGAGAGGTAATGGATAGCCTAAGAACAACGCCACTGGTCAATCCCTTTTTGGGATGCGGCACGGTACACAGTTTACTTCCATTTAAAATCGCAACGTTTATTGAATGTGATGTGGCCCATACCACGCTAGAGGACCAGCCGAGCTTCAACTCAGTGTGTTTATATCCTCCCAGACGAATCTGGTACCAATTCACCGTCCCCGGAGGGTAGAGGACTTGGTTGGCCTGACCGAAAACCGATCCGTGATTTGACCCCGGACCACGACGTGGTAAGTGTGCCGTTTGCCACTATACCACCTCCGCCTCGAGTGAGAGATAGGCGAGAAATCGCGCTGCATAAGGCAAGTTCTCGTTCTACACATAGTGATAATAATGGTCTTGAGTTAAGAATGCAAAACAATAGCTGGAAAAGCTAGTGAGTACCACTAAAAACATACCTTCTTCTTGCGGCGGCACTCCTTAGCGGCTTCACGATTTTTCAGCAATCGCACTTGCCTTTTCCTTGTCGACTCATCTTCACCTCCACCACAACCGCCCATTGAGCCACGTGAACCTGCAGCCATAGTCGGTGACGGTGAGCTGATGTACCCAGATAACAACGGAGAATGCCATTCTAAAAGTACTTGTACGCTATTAAAGCCCTCGCCTCGGAATCCACGCTCGTAACAAAGGGGGTTTCATGTCAGTGCACTTGCCCGCTGAGATACAATCAATAGAACCTGTCATTACTGCAAACAAGTTTTGCTACATTTACTGACCTGAGAAAGATGAAGTATCCATTCCGGTAACAGGTTTGATCACATGTCCGTCATGATTCATTGGGAGCCCGGACGACCCTGAAACTAAAAATTAGATTTTTTCACATATCATAGAAAAAGCCTTGGCAACAAGGTGTTAAAGAAATTCAAATAGATAAACACTACGAGGCTCACATGAAGAAGACAGAATTGCGAAATAAGAGTGATCTTGCTCAAACAGTTGGAAACACCCCTATGTAATGCTTCACTATATTCGCTTCTCCTCCCTCCTGGTTTATGTTTCTCGGTGACCTTTAGAGATCTCGAGCTCAAAATAATCTTCTAGGGTTGCAATAATCGGCAACTGTCCAACGACGGAAATGATTCAACAAATCGAAACGAAAAGAATTAAAATTTCATTGGTTCACGAACTACGCTTGAGCGCATGGTTGTGGAACAGCTAGGTTATTGTTTTTAGGGAGAGATGGCAACTCTTCCAGTATTTAGCCTGCGCTTTCCAGAATAAGGTCAAGCACTCCCATAAACTGAGGGAATGACTTATTTTACTCAAAGGCAGTTGGCACGTTGATTTGGTGCACGGTCTAAAATGCTAG